TATAAAATAATTAAAAATATTGTTCTTGAAAATTTCTAATTGAACCAAGATCAATCTTTCTCCACCTTTTTCTTTTTTCTGGACAACTCTAGAGTAGCATCTTCATATCTATGTCGATTGTAATATCAGGCTAGAGTTAAATTTTTATGCTATTATATTGCCTTCGCCTCGTTCATCTTTTGTCTTTTCATCTAACTTCATCAAGAATTTGAAAGTTTTTCCGATGTTCAAAACAAATTTTTGGAAATATGGACTCTGATTATTTTTCTGTTGCAATGAGAACAAATGTTATATTAATACTTATGAATTTGTTTATTTTCTAATTTATTACTTGAATAGAGTTAGGAATTACCTCTTTCTTTTCTGTAATGAATTTTTCTGCTTTGCATCCAATAAGAGTTTCTGCTGCGTCAAAGAGTGTTACTCTTGCATTATCCATGCCATTTTCCACGAGAATCTTAACTAAGTACCTGTATTTTTCATTGTTAATTTTTAAAGACAATTGTATTGTATTTTAATATGTTCATGGCATTAAAAAAGATATATTACTTAACCTTGGTACTGGGTCATCAATGATTCTGCGGCATTTGTCATTCAGACACTCTTTACTAACATCTTTATCAACCTTCTTGTCACAGCCTTTTAGAATCATGGCTCGAGCCTATTTAAAATAGTAGTTATCTTTGCCTTAAATGTGCAATACTGTGTCTGTATATTAACAAAGTTTAGTTAGATTTAAATTTGTAGATAAGAATATGTATATAATATTGTACCTGTATCAAATTCTGTGACTTATGCATAATATCACTAATATGAATTTCCTTGGCATTTTTAAAAATCGTCGATGAAGATCCTTTTACTTTTGCAGCTTCTTCCAATTGAAACCTACATATTAGATTAAAATATAATAATATTTCATTATTGGGTTATATGAAAGTATGCTTGTTCTGCTTACCATTCCCTTAATTCGCTAGCTAGTTCTATTTTTGGGTTGATACAGACGATATGCTTGTATCTCCTACAAAAATGAGAAAATTATAGGAGTAATTTTATGTTTAGTTATCTTTAATAAGAATTTCAGCAATAATTTATGTACCTTGATATATAGAGATTTTAAAATCTAATAATGCTATTACAGACTTATATTTGATTTCTGCTTCAAGAATTGATCCTTCATTTGTAGCCAAATCTCTAAATAAAGTTGCACACATTGGCATTCCACTGCATATGAAAAAAGAAAGAACGTTAATCTTTTTTTCTCTTATGATATTGGAAATAAGTAACATGAATATACCTTATATCCATAAGCGTGATTTCCCTCCTAGTTTCTAGTTTGTTGTGTCTTGTAATATAGTTGATCGCCGGCTTAACATTAGTTGTTATTGCAAGAATATCTGTAAGTGATTTGATAAAAAGATTTTGATTATGTAGATTAATGTCTCATTTTGTATTGAAGATTTAAGTAAGAAGTTTGTAAGTACTTACTAATTTTTGTTGCATCTTTCATGGAAAATGCTTCTTCAAATGGGACAAAGTTGTTAAATATGTTCTCCAAGTGGAATCATGTTAGTGCTTCTTTGATCGATACGTCTTTTGTTAGTACTAATTCAACTGACTTGTGGATGTAGGCTGTCTAAAAATCACAATAGATAGTTAATCCCTCATCAAACACCGATGATGGAAGTTATAATCTGACGACTTCCAGAAAGCTACAATTTGAGGATTTTCACGTAGAAGGCTACAATCTGACGACCTTCACGACAACTGATGAAAGCCCTAATTCGACAGCATTCATAATCAACATCGGGAGTTACAATCTGACGACTCTCATATTCTCAAGGAGCCAAGATGAAGATTACAAGAGGACGATCTGTGCAAAGCTCTAGCAAAAGAGACTACAAATTGACGGTCTCTTCATATTAGAATGCAGATATCTCTCAAACCGTAAGGAATTTGGCCAAACGGAGGAAGCGAACCGAAGCCTTCGGCTTGGTTCGGATGGCCCCGTCTCGTCGAGATAGCCGATTTTCATATATAATTCGTCTAATTCCGACTTACGGTTTGAAAGTTATGACCTGTTCTTCGCAGCAAATTATGTTCTGAGGTCCGTCTGCAAGACTGGACTTCATCAGAACATTGGACTTAGCCTGAAGCCCGCCAAGCCCGCCTAAGGTTCGCCTCTGCATTACAGAGTCAAAGCGCACATGCTCAACTCTGCGTTTTCAACATCAAAACGCAGAGTTAATCTCTAAAACAGCACGAACTGTGCGTTTTCAGCCTAAAACAGGCTTAACTCTGCGTTTTCAATATCAAAACGCAGAGTTAATCTCTAAAACAGCACAAACTGTGCGTTTTCAGCCTTTAAACAGGCACAACTCTGCGTTTTCAGCCTAAAACGCAGAGTTCATCTCTAAAACAGCACAAACTGTGCGTTTTTAGCCTGAAACAGGTCAACTGTGCGTTTTCAGGCCCAGCTGTGCGTTTTCAGCCTCAGCTGTGCGTTTTCAGCCTCAGCTGTGCGTTTTCAGCCTCAGCTGTGCGTTTTCAGCCTCAGCTGTGCGTTTTCAGCCTCAGCTGTGCGTTTTCAGCCTCAACTGTGCGTTTTCAGCCCAGCTGTGCGTTTTTCAGCTCCAGCTGTGCGTTTTCAGCCCCAGCTGTGCGTTTTTCAACCTCAACTGTGCGTTTCAGGTCCAGAAACGCACAGTTCGAGCCCAGAACGCTGTTTTCAGCGTTTAACTCGTTCAAGCACGATTTGAACGGTTCCAGAACCGTTTTCTCCCCAAGATTTTAGGGGATCACTACCCTATCATGGAGAGATTTATGGGGAGCAGTTAGACCCCATTAAACCCTCATTAAAGAGATATTTAAGGGGGCGGTTATACCCTTAATCCCCTATAAATACCTCAAAACTCAACTGAGTTCGGGCTGGGATTTTGGCTTGGGAGAGAAGGCTTTTGGCTCTGGGCTCTGGGATCCTTCTTTTTGGGCAGCAAGGGGGAGATCGACGTTCATCCTCAGCAACGATCTACCACAGGAGCATTCCCTTGGCTTATAACCGACTTTCGGTTCAAATCAACTCTTTTTCAAGAGTTCAAAACTTGCTCTGCAAGTTCTTCTAAAACTCGTCAGAGTTATCAACTCGATCAGAGTTCAAAACTTGCTCTGCAAGTTCTTCTAAAACTCGTTCAGAGTTATCAACTCGTCAAGAGTTATTTTCCAAAACTTGCCACGCAAGTTCTCCACAGCGTCAAATCGTGAGGAGAAAATCACGTTCCAGTGAATCAAGACGTTCGGATCGTCAACGAGAAGCAAACTCAACGCAAGCATTCGAGGGAGGCATCTCATCGCCACCGTGAAGAACCCAGAATTAAACAAAGGGGAGAATCAAATTCATTCTCCTCTCTTTTGTAATCGGAATCCAAATTATAATTGATTTTGAGAGGAATACAAGTCAAATTTTTCTTTCATTATTTCTTTTACTACAAATTTCCAACAAACAGTGGATACTTGGAAAAGTTGGGTTTATTCCTTTCACTTCACCATTTGAAATGAAAATAATTTGATTTTTTTTGAAGCATATCTATAAACTTTTCGATAGTCTCTTCGTACATTATTTCTTGTATTTTGTTACCCTACATATATTATTAACACCAGAGATCAATTTATAGAAAATATAAGTAATTAATACTAATCTATATATTATATGTAAACAGGAAAACATCATAAAAAGCCATTCTGATAGTTATTGGTGTTTTAATGTAATTTACCGATTAGAAAATGAGATTTAACAATATTCATATGATCAGATGTAACGTTGGGCAAACAATATAATATTAAAAATAATTTTATTTTACCTTTGCGTCAGCAAGAATTAGCTTTAGTATTTTCCCTGATCCTTTTACATTTTTGTAAGTTGCCTCTGCACTTCGAAGTATGATAACATGAATGGTCCATTCTTTCTGAAACTTCTTGAGCTGGCTTATTTGGATATGCTGAGTTTGGTCTTCAATACCGGTAATCATATTTTCTATTAAATAGATTAAAATATACATGTTAGTTTTGAACAATATTATAGAATATACCATATCTTAGAAAATGAATTTATTAATTCTTGTTCCTCATAAGGTTTTGAATATTTTTAACTGATAATATAGTTTGAGTGGGGTTAAAAAGTGAATGCTAAAGGGAAAAAGTTATACAATATTGAAAATTATAAATTATAGGAATGAACATGAATGAACATACTAATTATTCTTATAAATTAATTACCTTTAGAATATCTATTGCGACTTTGAAGTTCATTTCATGTTTATTGGCTGGAGGACTTCCTTGTATACTATATTTTTTGTGTATCTTTCATATTCTTTAATTTTTCCGTCTGATATTATTAGGACTTTGGTTGTTGTCATTGAAGTCCCTTGTGATAAAGCAACATACAGCTGTCCATGAGAGAAAACGTGTTGAGGTAGATGCCTACATGAGGAATTGTTTGTCCTTGCAATTTATTGATTGTCATTGCAAAGCATAGCTGTATTGGAAATTGCTTTCGTTTGAACTTGAACTGGAACCCTTCATCTTCTGCTGGAGATAATGGTATTCTTGGCAAGAAAACTTTTTTCCCTGCTTTTGGCCCATCGTGATCTTAGCATGGATTATATTACAATTAAAATCTTGACATACCATTCTTGTTCCGTTGCATAGCCCATTAGTCGGATCCAGGTTCCTTAATAAAATAATAGGACAATGTTTCTTTAATACCAGCTTGTGGGGTGGTAGTCCATTTGGTAGCAACGTGTTTAGGAATTATGGCTGGTAGTGATGATTAGTGTCATCAACTGCTTCATCAAAGCTATAGAATTCTTTTTCTTCACCTGAAAATTGTTTTATGATTCTATCATTTAGCATATTGACATATTCATTTTTTGTTGCCAGGATAGCTCGATCTTTCATATAGTCAATAGATTTGAAGTTCTCATCTAAAGATGGGAAAATTGCATTTATTAGACAATTTCCGGTAAATCATCACTTTGATTCTTTATCAAAATAGAAGTGGGCAATGCTATTAGGTCATCAGCCACTATCGGTTCATCTCCATTTCCAACTCTTAAAAGGAATTCGCTAAATGTTGAATTTGTTCTTGCTCTCATATTCTTCGATAGCTTCAACTTTTTCATTTTGCTCCACAAATATGAGCTTACTAAACTTTCTCTAACAGTTTGTGATCTTGTTGCGCGGGGTACTACTGGTAAAACTTGTCTGAAATCCCCACCAAATACTATTACTTTGCCACCAAATGGTTCATCTTGATCCATTATATCCCTTAATGTTCTATCTAATATTTCAATTGCAACACGTTTAGTCATTAGAGCTTCATCCCAAATTATTAATCTAACTATCTTAATCAGCTTTAAAGTTCCATCTTGCTTGGATATGTTACACATAGATGATTCTGTTATTGAGATTTTTATCTTAAATCTGGAATGTGTTGTTCGGCCTCCGGGCATTATTACTGCTGTCACGCCTGATGTCGTTGTAGTAAGAGCTATCATCCCTTCTGATCTTACTTTGGCTAGCAAAGCACGGTATAAGAATGTCTTCCTAGTTCCTCCTGGCCCATCAATAAAGAAAATCCCGCTTTTATTTCCTTTTATTCATGATAGTACGGAAGTGTATGCATTATATTGTTCTGAATTGAGTGATGATTCAGCATTGAGGTCTTCATCTGGAATATGTATATTGAGTTCATCTTGAATTTCTCTTGGATATAAACTTCCTTTTGAATGAGGGTTAGTTTGAATAGGCGGCAAATCAAATTTCTTGATATCCTTTCCCATGCTCTCTAAGAAGAATTTAATGTTGCAAAGGGTGTCGTTTATAATCGAAACTTTCGTAGCACCAGGTTTCCTTGAGAAGTCTTCAGATAATGAGTCAAGGTATCGATCCCATAATTTATTAACATCTGCGGGCTCACAGTGAACCAGTATGGTTGCAAACAGGCGGCGAAGGGTTGCTGGCATTTGAAAGATGACGACTTCATCTAAGCATTCTCTGATGCTATTATCTGATTCCAATAAACCTAATTTTTGAGCTGAATGTTTGAATAATGTGCATTGAATTCCATCCATGGTCAATAGATTCTCTAATGAGGTGGGTCATCTGATGTGAGTAAATAAAAGGCGTAAGTAATATCTTCCCCCTATAATTAGATTAGCACCATTTATACGGTCTATCACCTGTCTTTGTTTTCTTAGACTCCAACATTTTGTCGTCAAATCCCAAACATAATATTCGGGAAGTTCATAATATAATAACTCTTTTTCTTGGTCCTTTTTTGGTTTTGATTTGTTGGCTTCTTTAATTTTTTAACATAGTGTAAAAAATTCTGTAAGCATCGTCTTGTGGACATGGTCCCAGCGAATGAGCTTCGACAGGTCTTGATTTTTCCAATATGAAACAAACTGTTGATTCGGCAAGTGTAGTTGTAAGTTGATGACAACTAGGTAGATCTCATTAAGATAGAATTCATATATTCTCCACAAAGCTTCTTGAGCTGATACCCATCTTGCATCTTGAAAATTTTTTATTTCATTCACAAGTCTTCCTCCTTCATTATATTCAATGTTTACTGCCACTTTATCATGACCCTTGTATATGTATTTGTAAAGATACTTCACTACTTTAATGCCTGAGCATATTTCAATATTAATGTGACAATTATAACGTGTCAGCAAATATGGATTGTAAGGTACAACCCACTGATTATTAAGGATTTTATTGCGGACCAACATTGTTTTGTTATCATTCCTTCTCTTATAAATTGGGTAAGCATCTTTTGTTTGAATTGATTATGAGCTAAAATTGCGAGGATAGTGATATTTGCATTCTCCATTTTACATGCAACTGTTCTTCATGTTCAACTCTCCACAAGGTCCGTGCATCATATGTTTTTTTACCAATTCATAGAGGATCGGGTGTTTGGATTTGTTTGGAATTTTTGCAGATACATATTTAATATACTGATCTGATGATGTGATCTTGTGAACTTCAATAAGAATTATTAATATATGTGCATGTGGTAGCCCTCTTTTTTGAAACTCAATCACATGAACATGTGCGACAACTTTCCCAAAGATCTCCTTCTTAAATAGTTGATCTTTCAAGTCTTAGAACTTTGCTCGAAATATCCTTGAGGTTAGGTCTGGCCTGTCATTATGCCTTTGGCCTGGATGTAGTTGCTCAATGATCTCTTCCTATTCTGGATTACATGTCATTGTTATAAAAAGATGGATGTAGTTGCTCAATGATCTCTTCCTATTCTGGATTACATGTCATTGTTATAAAAAGATCTGGCTTTCCAAATCGTTGTACTAATGACATTGCATTCTGGATTACATGTCATTGTTATAAAAAGATCTGGCTTTCCAAATCGTTGTACTAATGACATTGCATCAAAGTATCTGCGACGCATGTCTCTAGGACATCCTATGAATGATGATGGAAGAACTATTCTTTTGCCTACTTGGCTTGCATTTGCTTCGTCGACAGCTACACTGTCGACAATACCTTAGAATAACTCTGCTCTGATTTCTGATTGTTTATTTCTAAAGTAATCAAGCCTTGTTGTTTCAAACTTTATGTACATATCAACAACATATTGATGGAATAAACAACCTGCTGATGTAAGTATAAAAGATTGTTGAGTGTCTCTTATCTGGAGCTTATGATAATAATAATCTCGGCATGAGATTTTTCTGGGTTTTGGTGCCTTGATGCCGGTAAATTTAGGCGTTAATCTATGTTCATATATAATAATATTACTTAGAAATATGAATTAAAATTTACTTTCACTTTCTCGGTTAAATATGTCTTCTGCATATGTGAAGGTAGGTGGAGATATTAAAGTTGGTATTATAGTTCTTTGTTGATTGTAAGTTTTAATATCGCATTTATCCCTTCTTTTAATATTTTGATGCCATCCAACCTCTCCATTTGGAAAGAGTAAGGGACACTGCAGTGGATCATAACAGCCAAAATAGTGTTTCACTTGATGTCTTCCTCCTGAGTGTGCATGGATAATAATCTCTCTCTCAAATGGTGCACTGTCATTATTTCCTTCAACTCAGATTGTAGCCACCTGATCTGCTGTTGGTGAGTTGTAAATACGTTAATCTAGTGCAACATTACTATTTATTAGTATCTTTAATTCTTCAAAAGATTGATAATCATTCAATTTGCAAAGGAACTTTGCATATGGGTTTCCTTGTAATATATCCATCAAGCTCTTAGTTGTGCTTTCATTCATATTTACATTGTCTAGAATTCCCAATCGATTTTGCAACTCATTCTCTATATCATAGAAGTAAAGCTGAAAGTATGAAGGCTTATTTTTCTTTGGAATTAGAACTAGGAGATTATGATATATTTGTCCTTGAGCTCTTAATGTGAAAACTCCTTTTCTATTTGATACGAGCTCTTTATCAAATCTTACCCCAAACGATGTGAATGAGAAAATACTATTGTACATTCTGATGTGGCTTCGGAACTCAATTGCCTCTGGTGTTTGCATTGTATAAAGGGCAAATAATTCATTTAAAATATTCACATCTGCTAGGTAGATTTCACCGTTGTGACAACAAAATGTTGGAGGCTCATGTTCAAACTTTTTGGATCCACAATATGCACAAGACTTTGGAGTGTGTAGCTTATATAGTAAAGAACATACCGGTTCATGAAGAATTTACCCTAGAACAAATATAAATATTTAATAAACTAATATATAATGTTATATGGCTCTTTTAATAAACTATAAAGTATATGTACACCAACCTTCATGCTCATAGACCAGTAGAAGGGCTCCATAAAACAAGTCAACTTTACGTTGTCGTTTTCCATTAATAGTATTACCAGAAGAGTCATTACTGTGTCGCTTTCTCTTATTATCCGCAATTCTCTGAATGTAAGATTTCTTTTGCTCATCACTCAATCGAGAATATTTAGTCTTTTTAATTCTGGGTATTGGAGTGTTCTCTTCTGTTTAAAAAATGTTCATGTAGTATTATAAATACATACACATATACTAATATAATAATATATGAATAATTTATTATTAAGTTTAATGCAAACCTTGGCTTAAAGCCATTTTAGGTGAGAAAGTGTTGTATAGTAGTTATGATATCTAAAAACCAGAGAATAAATTCCACAAAGGAAAATCATATATCATATTACCATTAATTTATGAATATATATGAGCAATGCAGATAGTTGGACAAATTAGTGAACTTTTTCATGAAAATTAAAAAGTAAACAATCAACTATAATCATTATCACAATAATAATAAAAAATTTATATATATTCTACACTAACCTGATACTCGTAATTATGGAATAAATCTTGAGTATGAAATTGGAATTGAGATGATATTATCCTATAGCTAAAAAAATATGTGTCAGAAAATGAAAAACCATATGAAAATTATATCAACAACAATAGGGGACAAAAATATACTTAAATTTTATAATTCACCTTAATCAAGAGAGTTTAGAATAAATTAGTCAACTATTCCTTCTAAACAATAATTTTGATGGTACTTAGTAAGTAATCAAACAACATGCATTTTTTTAACAATCGTAATAAATTAGATTATATCCAAGAATAAAAAGTAAATAAAATTAAGAAGAGCTTATATTGAAGTTTACTAATAAAACAATTAACTATTAGTAATAGCAAGTGTTACGAAAACTTAAGTGTTATTAAAATTAGCAAGTGTTATGAAATTTTTCGTAAATAGTGGGTGCCGTCTGTTTACGCACCTGGATTTCGTAGACCATGATGATACAAGAATAATTTATTTGCAAATCTAGGGATACTAATAATTCTTCTGCCTTTCACTCTCAAGACTCGGAGTCAAGAGAGTGTCCCTACCCCTGCCTCCCAGCTTCCACCTCCACCGTCAACTGTTGTCCGTCACCATCGCATCCATCTCAACTGCGACATTCATCCTCGGAACCGACCTACAGCTACCCGCCTTCGTCGAATCCGGAAGGAAACTCCGGCTACTACTACTCGCCGCCGCCGCCTCCGGAAGGAAGCTCCGGTTACTATTAAGTGAGCTTCTTTTTTTATGGGATTTAATGATTTTTTTGTTTAATTTCGTCAAATATATATGGGTTTTTATGTTTAAGTGTAAAATCGAAGTGGTTTCATTTATCTGTATCTGATTTATACTGATTTATCTGATTTATTTGGGGAAATAACTCGTATAAATCAGAATTAATTAGAAAGCAACATAACTATTATGTTGCTTTCTAATTAATTCTGAACTTATGCATGTTTCAATCTATCATTATGTTTAGTGTTCTATTCATAGTTCATAGTTCATATTTGGCATTTGTTTTGGGATTCAAAGCTTAAGCTTATCAGCTAAAATTCTCAGGCACGCTAAAATTTGTTTCTGAATTTCATAAGTTATTGAGTTGGGTTTGCAAATTTGGACACACACAAACGTACACATCTGCTGTATCTGGTTCTGATTCTTACATAAAGGCAATT